AAATATCTAGACTTTTAGTCACATGACCAGCCCAGGCCACAGGATGCCTCTTTCTTAGAAGCCTAGGTATTTTAGCTCTTTTTTATGCTTGCTCACTTTATCTATCCAGACAAGATTGTTTGCATTGCTTTAAGTTAATATTTGAATGTAAGAGCACTTTAAAAGTCATCCCAGGCAGAAGACCTGTGACATAAGCAGTTTAAAAACAAAAAAAAATACTGTGCACAAAAATAAATACTATGCATAATTGGTAGTTGTACTTTTTTTTTTTTTTTTTACTATGCTCTGTTTTTATTCATTGAATGCTACAATGACTCCAGTGAGTTAATGTTCAAAGGTGAGAACAATACCAATGTTGACTACAGAAAATGACAGCTGTCAAATGCACCGGAAATCTTTCAGGCATTTTGCTCGTTCTCTGGAAACTTAATGATTCTGTAATCTGTTACTATATTAACATAATGAATCCATTTCATTCTGAAATCACACAAGTCAGGGCTAAATTAGACATGCCAGTGTAATTAAACAAAACATGTATTATCGCATGCTAGCTACATTGAACAATCATCAGTCATGTCAGCATTATAATGCTGACTTATTGTGACACTGGCTAGAGGAATAATTTAATTTTCCAAAGGCAAAAGTGGCATTACGGCTTATGTGACAGAATCTTTCTGAATTAATCAGTCAACAAATGTAAGTGTTGCACTAAACCCAGGACCCTACATCTACTCTATGTGGTCTCACACAGGACATGGAAATGCAATTATTTTAGTAAATATAAACTGCTAAATACCTTTTCTCATCAGCAGTATATAGCAGTCTTGCGACTTCTATCAGTGTCCAGCAGAGTACTGGTTACAGCTTGTAGGAGGAGTTTTCATTCTCTCCTATGAGGCTGCAGGACCCCTGACCTCTGTCTGGACAGAGATGATTGGCCCCGTGTTGATCACATGCACTCCCCTAAGAGAAAAAAACTCCTTAGCAATACACACCAAAATGAGCATGTGCAGCTTGCCCCCCAAGGCTCTGTTCTATCAGCAGATGGATTGGGGACAGTAGAAGAAGGGGAGGGTTAGAGGAGTCAGGATCAAACATCCTTTTTACACAATGCAGAGGATTAACCCCTTAGGTTCCACAGTGACTAAAACAGGCATGCTTTACTGCATATACAGACTGATTTTACTGTTGTGGGTTTAGTAACACTTTAACTGTGCCTTTGTGTAAGCAAACAATACATTATAGAATAAGGCCCTTTTCACACAGGAGATTCGATCAGGCCTGCCTGTCAGTTTTTCAGGTGGACCTGATTGAATGGTCTATTTACCCCTATGGACCGCCTTACTTCTGATTCTGATCCAGACCACTAAAAAAAAAAACTTAAAAGGGCCCATCCCCTTCTGTTTAGGGGGATTTGAACACAGGGTAGTTGGGTGTAGAGGACAGTGGAGTCCATTTACTCCTGGGCACCCATAGAGCAGAGTGGACTTGGTCTGTGTCCGCTTTGTACAAACTGAGTTGACACGGATGATTCATCTGCCCACTCTGACCAGCAGGGGATCTGTGAGCAGAGTCTGCTCCATGTGTAAGGGGCCTACTCCTCAAATGGATATCATTTTTATAGTGAGAGGTAAAGGAGACTAATGCCTGGTACATACTATCAGTTTGTTTTGTTGTTCAACCCAGTGTACTATCTACAAGAGCTGAGCTATTGTCTTCTGACAGAGGGACTGCCCCTGCCCCCCCCACCAGAACACACCAGTCAGAGCTCGTAGCCATTGGCTGCCAGCACTAATCAGATGCCAAGCAGCCTTCTGCTGTACACATTTTATTTATTTCAGGTACTTAGATAGCGCCATCAATTTACACAGTGCTTTACATATATATATTGTACATTTACATCAGTCCCTAACCCTCAAGGGGCGTACAATCTAAGGTCCCTAACTTGCATTCATACATACATATACTAGGGCCAATTTAGACAGGAGCCAATTAACCTACCAGCATATCTTTGGCGTGTGGGAGGAAACCAGAGTAGCCAGAGGAAACCCATGCAGGCACAGGGAGAACATGCAAACTCCAGGCAGGTGGTGCCGTGGTTGGGATTCAAACCAACAACCCTAGTACTGCCAGGCGGAAATGCTAACCATTTAGCCACTGTGCCGCCACATGGCCCAAATGTCGGCCGGTTTCTGTTGAACCAGGCAATATTCAGCCTGTATGTACGGTACTTAAACCTTCAAGCCTCTGAAAAGTGATTTGCATTCAGAACATTTTTCAGATGTGGTTTACAGGTGGTGAGGAGGTGATGCGTGCATTGCATGCAGTGGTGGGGTGTTTGCAGCCCTTCTCCATTCACTTAAATGGGTCGCATTCAGCAGCAGGTTTACTACCTGTCAAACTCAACAAGCAAAGCAACATGATCATGGCATGTGAAAACCCCATTCACTCCCTTAAGGGCATTTAGACTTCTGGTTGGAGGCGTTAAAGATGTGCAATTGAACATCTCCCAACTGTCCCCACTAAAGCTGCAAACATGACATTATTATTATTATACAGTATTTATATAGGTTTGCTCAGCGCTGTACAGTAGCAAGGGGGACAGAACATGAGACAAGACAGTAACAAAACAGTACATGAGGGGTTCGAGGGCCCTGCTCTTTTGAGCTTACAATCTAGGAGGGAGGGGAAGGTGGTACAGGAGGAGATGGCTGTGGAGGATGGAGTGGTGGGAGGAGTGGAGGAGGTTGTTAGGTGAGTTCAGGTGTTAGGTGAGGTTGGAGTAGGCTTCCCTGCAGAGGAGGGTTTTCAGGGAGCGCCTGAAGGTGAGGAGGGTAGGTGACAGTCTGATTGTTTGTCGTAGGGAGTTCCAGAGGATGGGGAAGTCCTAGAGAAGTCCTGCAATCGGGCGTGGGAGGAGGGGACCAGGGAGCTAGAGAGTAGGAGGTCCTGTGAGGAGCGGAGGGCACGGGTAGGGTAGTATTCGGGTATCAGGTCAGTTATGTAGTTTGGGGCGGCGTTGTGAATGGCTTTGTAGGTCAGGGTTAGCAGTTTGAATTTGATGCGTTGGGCAATCGGGAGCCAGTGAAGGGATTGGCAGAGGGGGGAGGCAGATGTGGAGCGGTTGGTGAGGTGGATGAGTCTAGCCGCTGAGTTTAGGATCAACTGGAGTGGGGATAGCGTTCGTTTGGATGGGCCAGTGAGAAGGGAATTGCAATAGTCCAGGCGTGGGATGATGAGGGAGTGTATGACATCTGTTTTATTATATTTTTCTTCATGTTCTTCATGCTGTCCTTACTTTTTATCAGGGCCATGTTAGTTAATTTCTTTAAGGTCACACTGATCGCACACTAAACCATAGCAATTTAGTGTGTGGAAGCTGTTCATTCATCAGTAGGGGGCAGTGTGATGTGGTGTGATGCATGGCTCAGTGTATCAAACAATTCCCTTTTTTTATGTCACAGAACAAAGTGACACTTCATTCATGTCACCACACAGCAGCATGGTGCATTGCGTTTGCTGTGCATTGACATGCATGGAGAAGCAGTGAGGTGCAATATTATGCAAACATGTTGCTTAATATCACAGTCACACATCTCTGGAACACAGAGAAACACATGAGGAAAGAGGAAGGGGGAATTTTGTGAGCTGAGCTGCTGAGAGAACCAGCTTGATCAAATTCTTTGCTTCTACTGTGCACAGTGTTAAAAAAAAAGGCGCCAAACCCCGGAGATCTCTGATCTCTTCCATGTTGTTCAGGTAGATCTCCACCTCTGAAAGGTTGCCATACCCCTGATGTATAGCACGACGTGCAAGCAACAGATCTGAAGAGACATTGGCAGTTATAGCATAAGGCACTTCGGGGTGGGACTCTTGGTTTTACCTGCAGCCAATCCCACTAGAAGGACTTTGTAACCCCAATCCTCACTGGTGGAGCACAGCACTATTTTTCTCCAGAAGGCAAAAAGCTTACGTAGGATAGCAAATATATACACACCGCCTTCCTGTGAAAATTACATGCGATGTCTGTGGGCTGTGAATTGAGTCATGGCTCCAATCACATTGCATCCCCACCAAAAAGGTGCAGGACCCTTTTTTCTGGGGTGGGGGTGGGTGTGCGTATCAGGAAGGAGGAGGACTTGTAGAGGGAAGAATACACCGCACTACAGTCCACCACCTGATTCAAGTAACCTTACCTTCTGGAATTAAAGAAACATCCGGCTATCTGTGCACCCTCCAGCAGCACGCAGCCTCCTTGGGTCCTCACCAGGTACCCATCCCTGCCACTTGCGTCATTTCTTCTAGGTGGTGGCACCCCCCCCCCCCCCACAAAAATTGCCGCCCTAGGCAAACACTTTGTTTGCCTTGTAGTAAATACGCCGCTGGTGATGGTGTCATAGACACATGAATCTGTCCATGTCTGTTCTGATGAAGAAGTGTCCACACTGAACATTTCTTCCTCAGCAGAGATGCATGAGAAGAATTGTGAAAATATTTTATCAATTATGAAATTGGTAGTTTTGCCTCAAAATTAAGTTTGTCAAAATCATCTGCTCATCCTGGGTCCTGACACAAACATTACCAGGTATACAACCGGCTCAGTTTACAAAAGGCTTCCACTAGCAATATCCACTCAATGAGTAGTCAGTTATGGGTTATACCAGCTTTCATGTCATTTGTGTGCAATGATGATCTTTGGGGATGCTTAATGGTATTTGCAATTTTTTTTGTTGTTGTATCAGGACGGTAAAAGAGCCATTTAGTGAAATATCCATTCACAGTCCATCCAAGGAGTTTTACTAAACTTACAATGTTTCCTATCATATGAAAGTCCATGTAACTGTTACACTTTCATGTTTTATTTCCTATGATATCTGCCTGTAAACCATAAAAAAACACAGAAATTGTCAAGGGGACACTTATGTATTTATCAGTTTATCAATTATCTCATTTACAGATGACGTTGTAACTGTTGGCTCTGGATTATAATTATATGAAATTTATTTTTTCTTTTAGTCTTCCTATTCATCCAGCCACTGTATGCCATATGGGCCTGTTTCCGTTCTTGTCCATCAAGCTGTGTATGCACTCAAGAGCGAAACTGTTCTGTACTCTGTGATCGAATAGGACTGCAAGAGATCCCTAATGAATTTCCATGTGAAGCTTCCTTTATTAACCTAGATAAAAACAACATCAAATTTCTTTCTGAGCGGGCTTTTGGGACTTTGCCTTCATTAAAATGTCTCTCACTGAGCCACAACAACATATCTTTCATCACCCCAGGGGCTTTCAAAGGGCTGCCCAACCTGATTGAGCTCAAAATGGCTCATAATGATTATATACGCTATTTACACACTCGAACATTTTCTGCTCTAAAGAAACTGGTAAAGCTGGATTTAGCAGACTGCAATTTGTTCAATATTCCAGACCGAATATTTTTAGATCTTCCTTTACTGGAGGAACTTATGCTTTTTCAGAACAATTTCCGTAGGATTCCAGGAACTATCCGAGGTATGCGCAATTTGACTCATGTTTACTTAGAGAGCAACAGAATTGAAGCTGTTGCCTATAATTCTCTTCAGGAATTGCCTAATCTTAAATATCTTAACCTCCAAGACAATAAAATAAATGTAATTCATGACAAGTCTTTCCAAGATTGCCAGAAGATGGAGTACCTGTTCCTTAATGACAATTTTCTGAATGAGCTGCCAGAGAACTCCTTCAAAGGAATGAAAAAACTAAAAATGCTAAATTTGGGTGGAAACTCCATACGGAATATCTCATCTTCGTGGTTTCAAGATCTAATTGAGCTGGAAGTTCTCTATCTAGACAGGAATAAAATAAGCTATATTGAGGAAGGGGCATTTGAAAATCTCACCAGCTTAGTAGCCTTACACCTAAATAGCAACAATTTGACAACATTACCATTTGAGGTTTTCCGACCTGTTTACTTCATAGGAAGACTGTTTCTTTTTAAGAATCCATGGGAATGTGACTGCAGGATTGAATGGTTAAGAGACTGGATGGAGAATTATAAATTGGTTCGTGACATTCCCTGCTCAGCTCCAACATCTCTTGTAGGCATTGACCTAAGTAATGTTTTATTTAAAAGGTCGCAAGAAGGGATCTGCCTTGACCCAACAGAACAAAATTTTACCTATTATGTTCCCCTTCCTACTGAAAGGCTTCCATCGACCATGGAATCAAAACTAAGCAGTCTTATCTCCAAGCTTCTCCTACCAAAAGGAAATTATGAGGATTTGGTGAATACAACAGAAAGCTTTGACAACAGCACATTCTCGGATGTGAATGGAAACACAGCCTCCCTGTCTTCTTCACTAAATATTGCCGCATATGTGGTGCTTGTTATCAGTTATGCAATAGTTATATTTTAGGTTTTTAGTTACTATATTTTATTTTCAGAACAAGAAATGTAAATAAATTGTCATCCTAGCCCAGAATTTATTGATCATCCAAGGACAGCCGATTGAGGAAAAGACTATTTTTTTTTTTTTAATTTTACATATCCAACAAATCTAGCTTGCTGTTAAAGAGGGAATCTACTGACTGTTTATGAAAGTCTTACAAGAGGACAGAAATGAATACAAAAAAAAACCGTAATGAATCTTCAATTGGTGAAGGGTAACTGTGCCACTGAAGATTCATCTTTTTTGTTTTATGTATCTAGGGATTCTTTTCTTAGCATACACATCGTATATTCATCTTGTGCCACATTGGCCACATTGAGACTTTCCTGGGCCACATTGGAAGAAGAGGAATTGTCTTGGGCCACACATAAAATACACTAACTATAATGATAGCTGATGAGCAAAAAAAGGTCAGGTATATCACGTTAACAATCACGGATATAGATAATGTATCTATCTAAGTAATAAAACTTCATTTTTTTTAAAATATTTTATATTAAAGTAAAACAGAGCAACATAAAACTAGTGCAGTATCTGACACAGTTTTTGATAAACGAATGCATCAATATCTGGTTCGATGGATTTAGCAGCAATCCTCAGTAAATTTCCAGGGTGTTCATCAGAAATTTTGGTTTTAATTTTGCCCTTTGCATCTTTCATGTAGTAGCAATTCTCAATAAATTCTCAAAGTACTCATCAGATATTTTGGTTTTAATTTTGCCCTTCAGGTGCTCATCAGAAATTTTGGTTTTATTTTTGCCCTTCATGTGCTTCTTCCTTAAAAATAACTATTTAAAAATAAAGGTGCTGTCAAAATCTGATGACATGGATAAGGTTTGATTGTGAAGAGTGGGATATTTTTATTTTGGAAGATAAAACATAAACGTCCAGTAAAGAGTCACTGTCTTTGTCACGTGTTCCTTAAGTGTAAACACATTTTTACAAAAAATTAAAAAATCATTTAAAAAATATTTTAAATTTTGTATTGGGCTGCATTCATAGTGGGCCGCAGGTTGGACACCCCTGGTTTAAAGTGTACATATAGTCAAAGCAGCTTTTTCAGTTTTTAGTTAGAGTAGGGATAATTATATTTTTTTTTTTTCAGAATGCAACAGAAAATTTGAAAAAAAAATTTCCAAAGTGAGCATATTTTCCTTTTTAGACAGTTGTCACGGAAACACCTGAAACAAGTGACCCCATTGGAAGATTTCCCTTCACGTTTTGTTATAGGGACAACTCTAGTTTTTTTTCTAAAACTTTCCCTCCTTTTTTTCCTCAGTGCAGTGGTCTTGAGGACAAAAAGAAATACCTGAAATACCATTTTCCCTATAAAAAAAAAAAAAAAAAAAAGAAAAACATCTTTTCCTAGAGGTACACTTTAAGTATGGACACATAATGTAATTGTTATGCAACATATGGGCACACAGACTAATCAACTCAAAAAGAATGTTCTAATTTCATTTAAATGTAAATAAACTCATCATGCTTCATTTGTTAAGTGATTCAGATGATGTAAATTGCAGATATTTCTGTTAATTTCTCTGCATTAAGGAAAAATCGTGCCTCAGAAATGTTGTTCACAGTGTAACAAACAGCAGATTGTGATACTACTATCTTTATGGCTGCCAGGTCAGGGACCTGCATGCTTTCAAATAGCTGTTATAAAATATTCCAGACAATTTCACAAATTTACATTATATCATACCGAAGATCACTTTATTTAATCTCTTGCAAAGTTCTTGTGTAACTGTGCCCTTTTCTCCACTCCGATGATAGGAGTAAAATGCCAGATGTTCCAGAAGTGCTTGGCTGACCTGCTTAATGCATTATATTCAATGACTTTTGCTTTCCAGGCTATTTATGAAGACAGTAATCTGCTTAAATACATAAATTCATATTTGTATTATGAAGGGATATTTTCCCAAAGCTCCCACTCCATAAATGGAATGAGTTAACCCCTTCAGCCCTGAATCGGGCATGGCTCACTATAACTCAGAGAAGCACTGATGTAAGATAGCAAGGATAACCTAGTAATGTCAGCACACTCAAAAGGATCTGCACTGTTTTTATTTATTTATTATGATCAACAAAAAAATAAAAATGTGAAAAAAATGATCTTGTTATTTCTTTTTACTTAGATAAATATAAAATAGTGTATATGAATAATTCATCATTACCACTTGCAGTCAGCAGGTGAAACTCTTTAGAGGAGTATATGCTCTCAGGGGCCTTACGTAGCTGTTTTGATACAAGTAGCACAAAAAACACCCTTTCCTCTTTTCCCAGCCTACAGAAGCTACTAACAACCATGCAGATAGTGTAAGGATTTTGCTCCCGCCCACTACACTTTAACTTTTTAAAAGAGTATATATTCCTTTTTTTCAAGAGTCTTCACTTTTTCTTCAAATTATATTGAGGCTCCTTCTTCTTTCCAGCATCAGCTGTGGTTGGTCCTAACAATACGTGAGCACCAATTAGTGCAGTAGTACTGTCACACCAGGTCTGTATAACAAGCTCCCCTGGGAGCATGTCCATGGAAGCCTAAGTTCACAAAAAGTGGGTTGAGTGACACTAGTCATTATTCAGCCTAAAAGAGCCACACCATTTGCTAAAGGGGACCTTCTGCAGGATGCAGTACAGGACTGAAGGTAAGAATTTCAGCAAAATCTGTTTTTTAATTTTTACAATTCATGGGAAGTTTAAGTTCTGCTTTAAATGTTAAAAAAATGTATGTCAAAGCAAACTTCAAATCTCATTATGGTCTATCAATTCACCAGAGCCCACTGCAGAATAAGATCCTGTGGGCTATTGCTACAACATGTAAATATACCAGTGTAGCAGAATGTTGCAGAATTATTAGCTAATAGCAGAGTTCGTGTGGAATAAAGGACACAATTCTGACTCTACAGTTGTCTTTTATGGTCATTCCTGTTGATATGCGTCCTACAGAAGCAGCACAATCTTCAACTTTGCTGCTCCTGATCTAAATCATGCCAGTCTGTTGGCAGGTGTCCTGCTCCTTCTGTAGAGATGTCAGGGGTGGAGCTAGTGCCTATATGTCAGATGTGGGTGGGACCCAGGAGAGTGGGGTATGGGAGAAGATCTCCACTGTGCAGCACTATGTAATTCAGCTAGGAAGAAGACAGTGGCGGCGCCCTACTAGGCAGCTCCAACAAGTAGGAAAGATATACATCCTTCTAGAAGCCAGTGGAGTCACCATGCCTCCCTTAACCCTCAACTGTGGGTTTGTGGCTTGATCTTGAAAGTTCTTGAGGACTGGGATTGAGGAACTCTATGGTGAGCTGAGTATTGGGAGGAGCAAAATGTAGAACCATGGGAAGATGGCTAACCCAATGCGTAGTGTTATGCACTGATTTGAATGTAATGTCAAGATGTCACCTTACTGCTGGTGTTCTGCACTATAGACTGTGTCAGTGATTCTGCGACAACGTGATACTGTTATTTATTTATTACAGGCATTTATATAGCTCCATCAATGTATGCAGCGCTTTACATATATATTGTATATTCATATCAGTCCCTAACCCTCAAGGGGCATACAATCTAAAGTCCCTACCTTACATTCATATATACACATATCAGGGCCAATTTTAGACAGAATCAAATTAACCTACCAGCATGTCTTTGGAGTGTGTAAGGAAACCAGAGTACACGGAGGAAACCCATGCAGACACAGGGAGAACATGCAAGGCAGGTGGTGCCGTGGCTGGGATTCGAACCAATGACCCTAGTACTGCCAGGCGGAAGTGCGAACCATTTAGCCACTGTGTTGCCCATATAGAGATGTATGTGAGAAGAGTTGCAGTAAAGTCTTGAAAAGCAAATGGAGTGTACATTGCTTTATTCTACACACAGAAGCCTATGGCTGGGAATGTAGGAAAGGACCTATGGCTGGGAGAAATTTGTTCAAGATGGCTGAAACAAAAGATAAGTATATGGTGGATCTATCCCAAAAAGAAGCAGGGTGGGACCTGGACAGCATGGTGCCAACTGCTGTACAATCCAGGCCCCTTACAAGTCAACTATCCAAACAGAACACCTAGAGGGAAGTGGCCTAATGAAGATTGCTAGGTATTTTATTATTAAACATATTTAAAAATCTATTCACAAAAGCATAAAAAATAGACATACAGTATGCTTAAAATTCACTCATATACTGTATGTAGGAGATGCTGTTTTATAAGGAGCTCTAAGGAAAGGGACATGGTCCCTGAAATGTGACAGCAGAGGATGCATACCTGGACTCTGAGAGGTGTTCAGTAATGTGTGGCGTATTGCTGCAGCATGGCTGAAGAGGTTTATCTGTATTTAAATGAAAGGCAATCTACAGCATCCAGCGTCTCCCACGTATGAGTGGATGTGAAGAATATTTGTCTATCACTTTTCGAGTAGATTATGTAGTCATTTTTTTTTTTACAAAATACATAATGATCTTCACTATGCCAATAGGTGTTTTCTGTTTGTATACATTTAGAAAATCAAAATTATTCAGCAGTGGAAAATTTTAGCAAAATGTGTAAAGTAAGGACAAGTTGTTTCAGAAGACATATTTAAGAATTTGCCATGGCAGCCACTTTTTGAGGAACTAATACTTGTAAAAGCACAAACAAGCTTCTTAGTAGGTAGACAAAACAACACCATGTGAAGAAATAGTTTAATTTTAAATCAACTATAAAACACAGCTGCAAAGGTGAATTGTTTTAGTTCGGCTATCAATGCTATAAGGTAAATGTGATATAATATATATACAGTTGTGTTCAAAATAATAGCAGTGTGTTGAAAAAAAGTGAATAAAGCTCAAAATCCTTCTAATAGCTTTTATTTCCATACACACAAATGTATTGGGAACACTACACATTCTATTCCAAATCAAAACATGAAGAAAAATATATCAAATTTGTGTTGTTCCTCTAAACAAATTGAAGAAAAGTGAATATTAGACTGTT